AGAAGTGACTTGATAAACATTATAGGGACTCTGCACCAAGGAAATCAACTATCATTGACTAGTATGCTGAATTTAAACACGGTCGTACAAGCACGATGATGCTGAACGCTCTGGTTGCCCAAAATCAGCAGTTGTTCCGGAAAACATAAAAAATGTCCACAAAGTAGTTTTAAAAGACCATAAACTTAAGTTGCGTGAGATAGCTGATGCCTTGAAGATATCAGAAGGTAGTGTCTTCACAATTTTGCATGAAAATTTGGGCATATGCAAATTGCTTTCAAAGTGGGTGCCGCGTTTGCTGTTTCACGAAGGCAATGCGCCGTGTCACAAGTCGATGGTTCAACTGAATGAATTACGTTTTGAATTGTTTTCCCACACATCGTACTCCCCAGATTTGGACCCCAGCGACTACTGGCTTTTTGCAGATATGAAAAAAATGCCCCAGGCAAAGAAATTTGGCTCAAATGAAGAAGTGATTGCGGAAACTGAGGCTTATTTTGGGGGCAAAGACAAATCGTTTTATATAAAGGGAATTGAAAAGTTAGAGGAGCGTAAGGAGCGCTGGAATCAATGAATCACACTTGAAGGAAAGTATATTGATGATTAAAGTGGAATTTCTAAAAAAAAGTTTGTTTTTCTTAGTTATACCGGAGACTTATTGAGTGATGTGTTACATTTGTATTAGTATTTTTGATCGATCGTGTAAAAATCGTTGGTAATTGATATTATCAATGTATTCACATAATAATTGATATTATTTTAAAAGAAATTGTAAAAACTCTCTTAGATACATTACAAGAGTATGAGGCATTGATATGCATATACATATTTGTTAATTCATTAAAACACAAACTCTTGAATATCTCAATTTAAGCCTAAGTGGACTTATTCATTTATGTATGATATCTTAAATATTAAGTATAAATATTATGCTTAAATATTAAGCATAAGTTATTAAGCATAAGTGGACTGAATCATTTATATTTAAAATCAGATTTGTAATATGTGTTTTGCAAAAATTAATTAATAAACCATAACATTATAAAATGTTATTAAAAATTGTCGTCAAAATTCTCCATTCACAGTGTATTCACAGGGTAGAAAAGAAATACAGTCCCCATTTATTTTATTCATAATTTATTCATGTTTAAGAGAACAATCTTTAAAGTTGTAAATATCATTTGTTTTAAGTAACAAATTTGTTCTAAGTAACAAATAGAATTAAATACAAATGGGTCTAAATTGATTCACGAATACCAACCCTTACAAGTTTGTATTTTCTACGACTTATCTACAATAAACAGTCTATGTTGTATTAATATACGTATACATAAGATCGTAAAATACAGTCCTGTTATGTTTTACTGGCACATTAACTGCGTATTACCATTACATAAGCACTTATGTAAGATAAGAGGATCATAACACTCTCGCAATCGATACTATATTCCTAAAGTACAATCCCGAGAGCACATAACCGTTTAAACGTTATCAATTGGAGAAACAGTATCGCAGTATATTCCAAAGCAAAAGAGTTGCATTGAAATTTAATCAATATTGAAATTTATTATTCCATGCAATCGATAAAAATTTCCATCGCTTAAAATCGAGATTGACTATGCAAATTTTCTCAAAACAATTTCAGCAGATTAAATTTTAATCGATATTCAGAATTTAGTATTTTAAATAGAATTCTTGTTTTCTTTTTTTAATATTCATTGACTATTTGTTTAAATATTAAACAGCTTTCAAGACTATGTTTTTTAATATTCTTTCATTTTAACTTCGTTACGAATACTGATATATGTATCTTTTTTTTTACTTCAATCAATGATTGTATACATTTTGTGTTGTACATTATTCTCTTAGTATTTTTGATTCGATTATTATGAATTTAAAATAAGTAAAACATAATTACATAAAAGGCTAAATAATTTCCTGTAAATTCAAAAAGACTAACTGAAGAGGTTAGGTATTGTTAGAATAATGTTACACGGAATTACAGTCAATACTAAATATTCATTATTTTGAATAGCAATGCAAATTTCTATTTTTATAAATATTTATTGATTTCTTAACCTCTTTAAGACAATACATGTGTATATGTTTTGTCTTCTTTTAAACGCAATTAGCAGCTACATAAATAAATATTTTTATTTTTACGTGTATTATATATGTATTATTAACATATATGTTATACATATTTAATATGTAATATGCAATACATATTTTATATGTATTATTAACGCAAATAATTCTCTTTTATTTAAATACAATCGATTTATTGGACAAATAATTAAATTACTTCTGTTTCCTCATAAAATAAAGAGGTTACTGTGAGAAAAATTTTGTTACGTAGAATTTTAATCGATATTCAATTAAACTATTTTAAATAGCAATAGACATTTCTATTGATTATTTCGCATAAAATTTTTAATTGATACTTCAAAGAATTTGTATATTTTTACCAACGTTCCTTAATGTTTAAATAAATCATTGAATTACTTCTTTTTCTAACCTATAAAAAGCGTTTCTGAAGAGGTTAAATACTGTACGGAAAATGTTATACAGATTTTTAGTCGATATTCAATACGCACTATTTTAAATAGCGATACAAATTTCTACATTTCAAAATTTGTATTAATTATTTCAATTTTCTAAGAATAACCGTATTCAAACGATTCTTAATCTATACTGTAGAGAACACTATATTAAATTAAATATACTCTTTATCGAGTATATTTATTAACACGTTCAACCCAGCGTGCACCACCGGTTCACATATGTTTCTAATTATTTTCTCTTTCAAGCTTGCTTTAAATTGAGCAACCGGAAAAAGGATATGTGATAAGTAGCAGTGATTCAAACACGTACTACCAAAATAAATAAACTTTCTGCAGTAAACTAAACGCAAGGCATTAATAAAACAAGCAGTGAGCCAAAGAAGTTTTGCCAGATGAATAAACTTCGAAAAAGTGCTCCAGGTTGAACGTGTTAATTCAACCGGCCATCTGACCACATCTTAAGCTATAAAAAATAGCAGTCCTTGATTAAATTATCTGTAAAAACGAAGTAATTGTACTAAATGTATAAAATAACATATGTGTGCAAACGCAGAGCGAACGATATTTCATAAATAATATTTCACGCAATGTAAATAAATAAAAAATATATTCTATTATTTATAAAATATACTTTGTTATTCTTCTCTTTATTAACCCTTTGCACTCCTTAATTTTTATTACCAACTTCTTCATTCACAAAATAGATCAAAAAGGGATTCTCAATAAAATTTGCAACAATGAGGAGTATGTGACACATACATTTTTCACTTATTATAAATAAATAAATATTCAAACAATCCATTTGATTTATTTATGAGATCTAAGAGAAATGTGATGTCGAGCCGCACTCGACATAAGAGTGCATAGGGTTAAAGCATTATACGTGTAACAAATTTAGCTAAGGGTCAAACGTGTTCCATCGCCTCTCTTTCCTTAGTTGACCTTTCAAGGTTTATTATTCAAAAAATAATGACGAGAGAGAAGAATGGAAAAAGAGAAACGTAAATTATATTTATATCTGTGCTAAAAATTCTCTTCTGCCCTTTCCCTTTTAGGAAGCTTTTAAGCTCTGCCATGTTAAGCATAATCGATATTCGCATTCTTGCAAGGTTCGAGAGGAAATATTTTGGGAGCTCGGTTAGGTATGTCACCTAAATAAATGCTTCGGTGTCTGATACATTCTAATGAATTTTAAATAGCATGAATTGTTCAAGGAAATCGTAAGACGAGTTATTTTCAACGAATCTGAAGTCTTTAAATTATAAATGAAACGCAAACCTGGTTATCCACGAATAACAGACTTCCTATCAGGTCCATTTTAATTTAAGTAAAAATTGCCTGGATTCTGCATTTTTAAAGGCTTTTGTTGTTTTGTATTATTATCTTGTATTGGATAGTGTTGATAATGGAGTACATTGTAGAATGCTGCTGTTCTTTATTTGCGAATTGGTTGAAATGGCTGCTCATTTAACGTCACAATACGTGAACGATGTTGGGTTAATATTAATATATTTATTAATAATGTAGGTATATTTCTTATAATAATATAGCTACATATTATTATAACAATATAGGTACGTATTATTATAATAATATAGTTACATATTATTATAACATTATAGGTACATATTATTATAATAGTACAGATACAAGTTATTATAATAATATAGATTCATATTGCTGTAACAATATACCTACATATTATTATAATAATATAACTTTAACTTGTAAAACATCAATTTCGATAATCCATTGCCATTTGTAAAACATGAGCATTAATATTATACTGTTGCAAAAATATTTATCCACCAGAAATATGTATTGACACTAATTAAATTGCATTTATGTTATTAAATCAATGACAACCTCTAGGAACCATTTTACGGTCAATTATTTATACAACACATTAAATATTTGTAATCTTTGCTGATTAGATTTGACTCGTACAAGTTTAAAATATAAATATTTAGAGTTATGACGTACGTCAATATATAATATGATTGACGTTTATTTCTCCTGAAATAATTAAAAGAATGTGAAACTAATGAGGTGTGACAAGAATTATAATTTTGATCAAAGTGCAGCTGATGGGACAATAATGTACTTTTATATCAATTATCAGCACTATTTATACAAGATGAAAATAAATAACCATAAAGATTTTTAAATGTTATACAATATTTTATAATTAATAAAAATTAAATGTCTACTGTATCGTCATAGACGGTGCTAGGGCTTATTCAGGTAAATACAGTAAGATCTCCGTATCCGCGGGAATAATATCTGTGCAATTATCAGCAATTGAATGAATAAAATGATGATGTATAAAAAAGCTACTCATTGGTATATAGTCTGCAAATTTTCAAATTAAAGAACTTAGAAATTTTTTAATTTTTGTATTTACAAAACTTCATATCAAGAATTATTAATATAATATTATTTACAAGTTTTATTTTTCACCTTCACTATACCGTACTGTACAATTCAAATAAATAATATTATCATAATTATAACATAAACATAAATAAAACAGATTACTACATACACAAGTATAAACCTAATAAGGTTCAGCAAACAAGTTTCGAGGCATCCTCCACGGATACAGAGTCCTACAGTATCTATGACGAGTTTAAAACCCACCGAAATGGCGCGCGAAATTTGACCAAGTTCACTCTGAATCGCAAATAGTCCCTATTCACATCGCACGCGTCGAATCGATAAAGAATCAGCTTCTAAACGTAGCGTGTAGTCGGCTCAAGCGAGCCCCACTTCTTTCTCCCTGCTCGAACACGATATCGATTAGCAGGGCACCAGGTGCCCGGAATCTCCTGACCTTGACACGGGCCACGTTTTTCAACGGACGAACTTTCACACTTTTCTCTCGGAGAGTTCACGATCATGTCCTCATCCTACGTACACGACCCGTTTTTGGCTGCTTATCTGGGACGCCGGTCGTATTCACAGTCCCCGCTTATTCCCGTTATCGCTTATCTCCAGCTTACGTGTACATATCCAACCGGTTTACGCTGAAATTCCCCATAGCGTACGGGCTGCGAGAGTGGGTCCTCACCAGATAGAAGCCCCTGTTCTTCCTGTCAACTTTGTCGCCCGCCAAAGCGGCCGGGTACCTGGGCGGACACAGACCCAGAAGATAATTCACGAATCCTCCGCATCTCCATCCCCAGAAACCGACCTTCGAGTTGATGGACTCCGCAAAGTACATAACCGACCTATGATGATCGCACTCGAAGGCTTTCCATCTGTCCCAGCAGCCGGGCTGATTGATACCCCCGTTCATGTAGAAGTCTATGTGCCCGCTCATCTCGACTTTGCCCTGTATGAACGCGTTCGTGTGAAACACGTCGACGAACTGCGCGTCCCCAGCGTCCAGCTTCTTGCTCTTGTCCTCCGTGACGAACAACGGCATGGCCGGATCCAGCCCCGTGATTCTGGATATTTTGTACGGGTGCAGAGCGTTCGCGGAAAAAGCGGGCACGTGGGCACCCAGACTGAAGCCTATCACGTGTATGTCCTGCGCTCCTGCGTCCCTCAGTCTCTCGATCAGTTGGGCCACACACTCACCCACGTGTGGCACGTTTTGAACGACGATGGGGTAACACGGAGCCGTGGCCAGACGATGCCAATCAACAGCGATCACGTTATAATCGTAGCTCTTCAAGTATTCCATCCGCACGTCCACGAGGTAGGACAGCATCATATTGGAGTCGTAACCGTGAATCACTATCTTGGTCGGTTTCGAGGGGTCAAAGTTAGTCTGTGCTAAGTTGGAGCTGGTCTCGTCCACCAGGATCTGTTGACTCTCGTTGAAGTTCCTCTGCGTGTACAGGAAAAACGTCACCTCTTTGTCGGGGCAGGTCTGGTTGTCGTTCACCAGACAGGGTCCTATGAAGTAGTCCTTCCCTTCTTGGTCTATGGTGTTGCTCACGACGAAAGTCTCCGTTTGCCTCGCCATGGTGGTTTGGCTGGTGAAGATCAACGAAAGAGCCACGTAGAGCACGTTCCAAAGTATCGGAGCAGCCATGTTCGTTCTCCCGGATGGTCCGCCGACCCACCACCGGGAACACTGAAGCCTCTTGCTGTTGGGGTCGGTTTCACTCGACTGCCGAGAGGAAACTAAGCGAGTGGTCCGTGTATCGACCAGTCGTGAGGGAAACTTCGCGTTGAATCAGCACGTACCGCCAACTACGAGCTTGGAATCCCTAAAGAGGGGCATGCCGCACTATGCTCCGCTCGGCTCGGCTGATTAGGAAGCTCTGACGCGTTACGCTCGATACACAACGGTCGATCGCGATGCAGCCTCGACGAAGGTCGACGCGATCGACTAACTGGAGCGCACCGGCTGATATACTAGTGCTCGTTTTTTTTAGATGTCAGGGACAACTCCTTTTGGGATTTCTGCGGCACTTTTTTCACAGTTTTGGCACGTTTCGCTTCGTTGCAGAGGAACTATGTCATTTTCTTGCGTTGCGGTAAACACGGAATTATTGCTATTCTCAAGGTTCGTGTTATTTATTTCCATTCATTTTTTGGTTACTTCTCATCTTGACCTGAATTTCGTTAACAGAATTCATTTCTTTCTTTTTGTTTCAAAATCAGTTAATATACATATTATCTTGTTTGTGCTGATTACAATTTAAATTATTTTTGTAATCTTCATGAGTGAAATATGTTAGATAAATTTTTTAACTTCTTCTGACGTTAGTCTTATTTAAAAAATTCATTTCTCTCCTTCTGTACAGTTTCAAAAATTAATTTTTCTATACATACACATATGATTATCTCATTTGTACTAGTTATTATAATTTAAATAATTTTTGTCATTCTTATTTGTGAAATATGTCAAATAAACTTCTTATAAAAGAATCTTTTTTAAAACGTGACTTATCCAATCCTTATGCAAATGAGTATTTTTATTTCACTAAATAAGGGTTTGAATAATATTTGCACAACAGTATTAATGATGTAACACAGTAATTTTGACTTGTTAATGACAATCGCGTTACCAAATATTGGGCAACCCTTTTCGTTCCTTTTTCATTTTCGATTCTGTCGGATCGATCGAACGAAAAGCTACCCGTCCAATTATCGACGCTTAATTGCAAGGGTAACGGGTTTTGGATTAATTCGAAGACGCTTTTGCCAATGGTCGTTTCGACGAAAATAACGAGCCGATTGAAATCCGTCGGGTAATTGGCAATTTAATATTTTATTTACTCGTAACGACGCGTTCTGTCGGACCACTTCTCTGTTGATCGTTACACTAATTACGCCATGTAGATGATCGCTTTAAAAATGGAACAATGCAAACTGTGACTCGAACTCTCGTAGCTAGGAAACGTGGAAGCGTTATTTGTGTATCTGCTTTTTATGCGATTGGAAACAGATATGATAAGATAACGAATTGCTCACAGAGACGGTTTATACCGATTTTGTTTCTGCAACAAAATATTTTTGAACTTTGATGTGTATTGATCTTTTATTTTGCTGAAAATCATTTTATGCTAAGAATCACAAATAATTTTTTTAAATATATAAATAACTAGTTAAAAATGTTATAAAATGTCGTAAAAATTGTTGAGTAGATTTATTGAAAATAAAAGTGCTAGCTAAAAAGATTTTATATAATCTTATAGTGGCACACAAAGTGTTAAGAAAGTTCGTTGTTTACACTAATGTTTTAAATGATTTATAGAAAATTGCTATCCAATTTTATTTTAAGAAAATGCAGAATTTTATCTTTGAATTTAAATAGAAATATTCATTGAAATAAAATATGAGTTGCACTTCGATACAAATTCTAAGTAAATCTAACCTCAAAATTTCATATCATAATAACACTATTACTTCATTTCACTCGAAAAAGAAAATAAATTTTTCAATAGCAACAAGATACATTATGATTGAAGAAAATCTCATTCTTGAATTATCGTATTGAATTTTAATAATTAATTTAGTAACTTAAATGTATAACTTTGAATCAAAAGAAATAATGAACCGCCATTAAATGTCTGAATATTAAAGTATGCAAAATAAGATTTATATAAAATATGAAAAATGAATAATAATTAATTAATACAAAAAATAAATGTATTAAAATATTAAAAGTGAATAAAAAATAAAAATTAACATTAAAAATAAAATTATTAGAATATTGAAATTGTTATGATGTTAATGACTCTAATTACATTTAAGAGAATAGTTGCTGGAAATCGTTGAAACAATTCTTGCAAGAACTCAAATAAGCAAATTTCCAGAAGAGAAGGATAATGAAACTCGTTGCTTTGAGAGCTTCGGACAGCAATCTGAATTATTGCAAAGTTCGCCGGTTTAATTATACTTACAATAAACACGAACTGTTTCATTCTGCTGTTTATTAAGGGATGACAGTTATTATTGCTTTTCCGTAGTTTCGAGTATTTTGAAGCTCGACCAACCTGGTCTGATTCCTTTTTAATGAAAATCCGCGATGTAAACGCAAATTGATTATATATTAAATTTTAGCAAATAATATCATTTACTGATTTTATGGTATAAATAATTTTTTTTATATTCAATATGAAGTATGAGGTATAAATAAAGTATCAGTAATGGAATATAATTGAAGAACAAGTCAAATATTTGTTTATTGATTTTGAAGTACATTCTAAGGCATAAATAGTCTTCATCAAACTTAATACTGGGTATAAAGAATAAATAAATTATAAACAAAAAATTATAAATAAAGTGTAAATGAAGTTAAAATAAAGTCTACATAAAATATCTGTTTACAGATTTTTTAAATACGTTTAAGGTATAAATAAGCCTCTTCAAATTTTATATTGGGTATAAAGTATAAATAAAGTATAAACAACAAATTATAAATAAAGTGTAAATGTAGTAAAAATGAAGTATACATAAAGTATTTGTTTAGATATTTTTTAAATATGTGTTAAAGCATAAATAAGCCTCTTCAAACTTATTATTAGGTATAAAGGATAAATAAACTATGAATAAAAAATTAGAAATAAAGTGAAAATAAAGTGTTAAGAAGAAGAAATAAAGTATGCATGAAGTACTTAATTTATTAATTTTAAAGTACATGTTACAATATAAATATTCCCAATTTCATTGAATATTCAATTAAAATTTTTAACAAATATTACAAGAAGATTGCATCACAAAAAATAGACCAATCTTGGGTATCGAATATTAATATAATTCACTAATGATATTAAAAAATGATTGACGTTAACAGCAAGTGATCGATTTTGTATAAGATCTCCCAACTAGAAAATTCTGATTAATATATTGATATGTTACATAAAATATGATGTTAAAATATTTTTAAATAACATATTCATCAAAATTAATGTCTCTGTGATCAAAATTATCCTTAGTATTAAAATTGGTATCTAGAATTTATCTCTAAAGATACAATTTACCAATGTTGTATTCGAAACCCATTGTATTGAAAATTCCATGGAACTATATTGGAAATCCAAGTGAATTGTATTGAAAACCCAATTGAATTACGTTGAAAATCCAATGGAATTGCATTGGACACTCAAGTGAACTGGATTGAAAACTCACGCGAACTGTATTGAAAACCCAATTGAATTGCAATGAAAATCCAATTGAATTACGTTGAAAACCCAATTAAATTACATTGGAAACCCAATTGAATTACGTTGAAAACCCAATTAAATTACATTAGAAACCCAATTGAATACTGAAAACGCAATGGAGTGCTATTAAAATCCCATTTGAATTGCACTAAAGATCAAAATGAATTGTATTCAAAATCCAAGTCAATTTCATAAATTCTTATAAAATTCAAGTAACTAAAGATGAATTTGGAGTAAAAAGTGTTTACTGTCGCTAACCAACGAAGGATTATTTCAGCAAAATCGAAAGCATTATTTTGAAACTTCCTCTCGGATTGTTTTCCCTCGCAAAGCGTAGAAAAGTAACGTTGCCATTGCCTACCGTTGCTAGTAGCAGTTCGCATGACTTGAAAAATGCGAGAGAACAGTGTAATGCTGGTAGGAAGTTAGAAGAAACGGGCAAAGAAGCGTTGGTCGACCAGCAATGGTAGACTTTGGCCTCGTTCCAACGAAACATCGACCGTTTTCAACCCTGTTTCTTCATCCACTGCTGGAACAAGCAAGATAAGGGCAGAGACCCCTTTCTTCCGTTCTTTTGTAAATTTTTGCCGAGTTATTCGTACTGGAGATATGAAACAATCTTAAACGACCGTAACAATTATACTTGAAAGTTACATAGGGGTAGGTTACGTTCTGAAAATGTAATTATGGGGAAAGTTTAGATATTAGTGAAACAATGCAATTTGTCAAAAATATGATTACTCGAGAAGTTTAACCCTAAACGGTCACATTGGGGTACGAAACGACCCCAGCTAATTTAGCTTCAATTTTAGCCACTTTTTATCTTGAAAATCTGGATAAATATCTCTTTCGAAACCCCGGTATTTTTACTTCTTTTTTCTTCAAATTATTATATCTCAAGGGTGTACTCTTAAAATTTTAGCTCTTCATATTGAAATGGAAAAAAGTTTTGAATTTTTCTGTGGAAGTCATTTTTTCAATTTTTTTACGTTTCTGAATTTTTTTCATATTCAAAGTTTAAATTTACTGAAATCGACTGTAAAATATGTTAAAGCAACTTTCGAAGATTATTTATAATTTTTTTTAAGTTAACATAATGAGTAGATTCTTTGTAAGAATTTTTTAGTGGCTAAAGTCTTAAACGTCCCAGTGTGCCAGGTTGCTATTCTGAAGTGTGGTCATTAAGGGTTAAACTCTTTAAAAAATAAGAACTGATTCAACTATCTAAAACTGTTAAGACAAAGAGAATATTCAAACTGAAAATTTGACTATTTAGTTCGTGCTGAAACAATTTGGTTCTTTTATGGAAAGCATCATCCTCTTTAATGTGGGTTCTTTCATTAGACACCCTCGTTTTTCTCCATTTCTTGCTTCTATTAACTTTTAGTGTGCGAAGCTGGAGCGATCGATGTTCCTTATCAAGTCGAGTCCCTAAATGATTCTATGCTATGTTTACTGTTACGTTTATTTGCATTATTTAATTTTTTATCGTAACTCTGTTTTTATGAAGGTTAATAAAAATGTTACTAAAAATCGTGAAATTTACTTGTTAAACTTTATGTAGTATGGAGAAACAAAATAATCAACATTTGACT